TATTTCAGCTGACAAATATTAATGTTGAATATATATATATATATATATATATATAATTCGCCTCAAGTGGGACGTTCTTTTGTCACAAAAGTTTTTAAAGATCGGACGTACATTGCTCACAATGCCAGTGTTTAACTTTTCATAAAGCATATCACAGTCAGTTTCCACATATGTTAAGTTTAATCTCGCTGTAAGCAGGATATTTTGAGACGAATGTTTGTCAGACATTTTTTATTGGATGGTAAATTCCATATAAAGCTCTGGGCTGCTCTTTTATGTTGCCACTTATTATTGACACCTAAAATGCATTGGTACCAGGTACAAACAGGTTCTTCGAAATTCACCAGGTAGTATTTCAGAAATAATTCCTCATGTTGTGTAAACTTTGTTTTACAGACACACTCTGATGACAAAAGCAAGTCAGATAAAGGCCGTAAAGCAGCTAAACCAATGAAGATCATTGAAGAAGATGATGAAGATGCCTTCAAGGGTGGCTCGTCGGACAAGGTTGGACGATATTGCTTTACCATTGTGGAGGGGAAAGGCTAGGTCATAACCCAACACGTTTTTTTGTCAGCTTCATTAAAGTCCTTTGCTAAGGCCATCTGCTGTTGTACCTGCTGTGGAGTCAGGTTACAATTGTATGTTTTGGAGGTGGATTTGTCAAGCGCGATCCACCCCATTCATTGAGACTGATGTCATCTTTTGCAGTGTGACCAGTGCCATATTTTGACTGGGTCGAGATGCAGCTATTTTAGGGCTTTGTTTCATGAGATCAAGCCATTCTGTACACATGGTGAATGTGTCTCTCTTTCCCTTAAGGAACAGACTGATTCTGACCCAGAGCCATCCTCTGTACGACGGCTGGTCGCTGGAACAGTATCAGGATTCAAATGGGAGAGCAGTGTAGGTTACATTCACAGTTTGCCTCTGCACTTCTATGGGATCTGCACATATGCCCTTTTTTAGGTATCAGTAAGACTTACCCACAGGCTGATTTTGGTGCAGTTACAGCTGTGAATTTTCATAGCAGCTGCACGGCTGGTGTGAAAACACCTCACTTTCAAAATGCAAGTCACTATGTCCTTCACTATATAGTTGCACCTCTCACCATGTGGCTGTAATTAGTTACAGATGAAATAACTATCAGGTCAGTAAGTCTCTTTGGAGAATAGTTTCCAATTTAACTCTCTTCCATTATAGCCAGTAAAGGATGACCCACATTTTCATCACTTTCTGCTCAGCCAGTCTGAGAAGGTAAGGAGACTTTTTGCTGGGATGCTGAATGATTTTCTAGTTAGTGTAACCTTACCCCTGTCTCTTGCACATTGCACACAATGGCTGCTCTAATAATTTCTGAATAATATCCTCCCCCAAACTGCTTCTGGCAATGCTAGTCAGCCGAATCTGCAGCATGGCAGTTTGTACTGAGTTTTTTTTTTTTTACCTAACGGAACCGACATCGTCAAGCTTATTGGTTGATCCTCTGAGACTGTGAGCTGACATGTACTCAACCTTGCAGTTTAAAAACTATTTTTGGCTATGGTTTTGTACAAGGTCTTTGTCTCGGCTGTGGTCAGGGTCCAAAATGAACATTTCTTATTTTCTTTTTTATTCAGAATTTCAAGTAGCTAATTATTTACGCTACCATTTAAAAGTGAGATCAAGAAGATTTATTGTTTGAAAGAAAATAATGCTTTTATTAATCAAGGACACATTAATCTAATCAGAACTGGCAGACATTTATAGTGTTACAAAAGATTTCCAAATAAATGCTTTTCTTTTGAACTTTCTGTTCAACAAAGAATCCTGAAAATAGTTACATGGTTATTAAATATTAAGCAGCAACAACTGTTTTCAACATTAATAATAAAAAAAAGTTTCCCAAGCAGCAAATCAGCATATTAGAATGATTTCTGAAGGATCATGTGACACCGAAGACTGGAGTAATGATGCTGAAAATTCAGCTTTAACATCACAGAAATAAATTATACTTTTAAGATATATTATAATCTTTTTTTTTTTTTTTTATTGTAATAATAATACACAGTATTACTGTTCCTGTATTTTTGCACAGATAAGTGCAGCCTTGGTGGGTATAAGAGACTTAAGAGACAACAAAAAAAACCTTACTGACCTCAAACTTCTAAAAGGTAGTGTTCACAATATTTCAGAAAATTTGACTTTTGGATAAAATAGACCGTTATGTCCATATGTATGCCTTTTAATACAAAGGAGTTGTTACCTGCAACCATTTTATCGAGTTTGTGTCAAGCTTGTGCTCAAAAAGTGGGGTGATAGACCGCGGAAACAATACTGTCAGAAAGCAAAACTTTGTTGGTTTTTTTTGTTGGTTTTTTTATGCCACAGCATTTGTGAGCTGCAAACTATGGTCAAAAATAATTTTTTTATAGAAAAATATTTAAAATAAATGGGCAGTAAAAATATTTATGGCCATAGATGTGGCAAAAAGTAAATTTTGGACTCTGGCTATGGTTGCACATTTTGTTACATGCTAGTGTGTCTGAAAAATTGATTGGATTGGAGGAAAAAACTGTATCGGAAAAGCCAGCAAAGACGCCCAGCCAAAATACTCTTGTGCTTCTGTTCATGTGCCAGTTATACCAACAAACTGTTTAAATGACTCTTCCTTTCCTCTTGGCACTTCCTCTTCAGAGGAACATTTCCTTCTTGCTTGTCCTTTTGCCCTTTTGCTTTCAGGCACCACAGTCAGAAACAAATTGATCTTAAAATTATATCTCCAAAAAGGAGACACTGAGATCTTAATTGCCTGAGGTTTTTCTCAAAAATGTTCATTTAGGCTGCGTCAGCCGTTTTCTTGCCCTGTATAAGTTTCAGTTAAACTGAAACGGAGCATGTGGCTGAGCATGATAACTTGATTTTCAGTTCCTAACACTGGCTTCGCTCCTGGCTCTCACATCAGATATGGCAGAAAGAGCTGCGTGACATGACAGCAGAGGATAATATAAGTGCAATCCTTACTGGAAGCCGACAGAGCAAAGAATAACGTGCACTTAAGATCATTTGTGACTGTTGGGCCAAAAGGTTTCCACCTGGTTTTCCTCCCCTGGCTCTGTACTTGGTGTTTTCAATAAATGTGTATCTAGGATCCTTTGAGTGCAAGACTGTTTGCTATTTCTAGACAATCTAAAATGAATCTGCTGAATTGACTTTGATTGACAAGAAAATCTCCCTTTTCCTTACAGCCAGCTTCATCAATGGAGCCCATCACCAAACGCTTAAAGATAATCGAGGAGGTGAGCGCCGTCTAGGAATTCACAGCTTGTGGTTTCTTCATTTACCTACTAATTAGCCAGCTAGCATTGCTTGGTCATTTTAAGAATTGTCTGTTTTCTTCTTGAAAAGGACACAGGATCAACATCTATTCAAGCAGCAGACAGCACAGCCATCAACGGCAGCATCACACCTACAGACAAAAGGTAATGAGGAAGAATCATGTTTTTAGTGGTCCGAAAAAGTGGCAGTCCAAATGTCTGAGACCACATTGAAGTTCTGAGATTAAAAATCTGGAAATTCAGGTTTATTATTTCAGTTTTAGTCATTTTAGTTTCTGAGACAACATTTCTAATTTAATACATATTTCATGTAATATTGACATGTGTTTTTTTTTCTGTGATCCCAGGGAAGGGTTTTTGTTAGTGTATTTATTTTTTTTATTGTCAGCATTTGCATTCGTACATTGCTTCCTGTCCTGCATATGCCACTGTGTTGCGCTGACCTGTGTTTTTGTTTGGCTGTATTAAAAAAAGAAGTGCACTACACTACCAGTGTAGTCTGATTCACAAACAAATGACTCTTTTGAGCTGGTTCTTTTTTAGAAAATAAAAAATACTGCATGACTAATGTTTGTTAAACCATTCACTTAAATCAGTATGCTGACAATACCTGTAATATTTGCAATATTTATTTGTTTTCACAACAGGATAGGGTTCCTTGGACTTGGACTGATGGGAAGTGGTGTGGTTTCTAATTTGTTGAAGATGGGGCATGTTGTGACTGTTTGGAATCGCACGGCAGAAAAGGTACAATCAAAGGTGTTTAAATATGGTTGCTTCTGACGTTACACTAAGTGAGTGATTGGTTTGTTTTTAACCTTTTTTTTTTCCTTGTCATTTTTCCAGTGTGATTTGTTCGTCCAAGAAGGTGCCAGATTAGGACGAACACCAGCAGAAGTTGTGTCCATGTGCGATATCACATTTTCCTGTGTATCAGACCCAAAAGCTGCCAGAGATGTAGGTCAATGTTTTGTAAATGGCTCTTTGTTTTCAATCTGTCAAGCTGCTCTGTCTTTGGTTTACATGTACAGTATTATTTCCGTTCAGCTTGTGTTAGGTCCTAGTGGAGTCCTACAGGGAATCAGACCAGGCAAATGTTACATAGAGATGTCAACCGTTGATCCAGAAACCATCACCGAGCTCGCACAGGTAACCAACATCATCCAGACGGGTCTTTCATGACATTACCAGGGGAAGTCCGTTACTAAGGTTCATTTGAATCTGTAGGTCATCACATCCAGAGGCGGCAGATTCCTAGAAGCTCCAGTTTCGGGCAGCCAGCAGCTTTCCAATGACGGTATGCTGGTCATTGTTGCTGCAGGAGACCGCAGTGTTTATGAAGACTGTAGCAGCTGCTTCCAGGCAATGGGGAAGACGTCTTTCTTTATAGGTACTACAGCCTTTCAGTCGCGCTGTGTACGAGGTAGATGTTTCCACATGATATTGACTTTGTCTTTTCCATCGAAGCAGGGGAAGCAGGAAATGCTGCGAGAATGATGCTGATCCTTAACATGGTTCAAGGCAGTTTCATGGCAACCATCGCAGAGGGATTGACCTTGGCGCAGGCCACGGGACAGGGCTTATATTTGAATGTTCTTTTCATTTATAAAGAATTATAAGCGTGTGTATTATGTGATTTAGCCAATGCACATTTGTTCAAAAGCCTGGCAGAGTGATCACAAGATGCTAGGCAAAAGTTTTGTGTTTTCAGAAAGGACGCGCGTTCTCATCTTTTTTCTGTTAATTATTATGATGCGCTGCATGTCTGTTTTTCTTCAAAGCACCGACTTAGAATGCCTAATGTTGGTTTATAGGTACTACAGCCTTTCAGTCGCGCTGTGTACGAGGTAGATGTTTCCACATGATATTGACTTTGTCTTTTCCATCGAAGCAGGGGAAGCAGGAAATGCTGCGAGAATGATGCTGATCCTTAACATGGTTCAAGGCAGTTTCATGGCAACCATCGCAGAGGGATTGACCTTGGCGCAGGCCACGGGACAGTCACAACAAACATTCTTGGATATTCTTTGCCATGGACAAATGGCAAGCACGTTTGTGGACCAGAAATGCCAGAGTAGGTTTACTTGTTTACGTTTTTAAGGGTGTGATCACACTTGTAGTTCGGTTAGTTTGGTTCATTTGGTCCGGACCAAAAAGGAAAATTATACATTTGGTCCTGGTCCGCTTAGCATTCACATTGGCTTTTTTGACAGTGAACCTAAAGACAACGAACCTAGAGGCATAGTGATACATTCACAACCTGATTGGTCGGCTTGAATGACGTATATATCGTGACGGAACTCACCCAACACCCCAAACAAAAGGTGCGTTAGACTTAAAGCGGCGCTGCGTGTGTATGATATCAAAGCACCCATTAACCGATCGGTCTGCTCAGCGCCGCTTTAAGTCACACATACCTAATGCCCTCTGCTGGACTAAGAGCGCTCATTATTGCGTGTACCAAGGTTATTGTGGTTTTGAATTTTTAAATTCATTTTATTTTAATATCGTTTTCAAATTTGCTATAAAATTCAGTTTAGTTTTGGACAAATGGCAAGCACGTTTGTGGACCAGAAATGCCAGAGTAGGTTTACTTGTTTACGTTTTTAAGGGTGTGATCACACTTGTAGTTCGGTTAGTTTGGTTCATTTGGTCCGGACCAAAAAGGAAAATTATACATTTGGTCCTGGTCCGCTTAGCATTCACATTGGCTTTTTTGACAGTGAACCTAAAGACAACGAACCTAGAGGCATAGTGATACATTCACAACCTGATTGGTCGGCTTGAATGACGTATATATCATTTGATTGCTTGTGTTACATGGTAAAATAAATAATCTTGCTTAGCTGGTGTAATAGATTTAATGCGAGTGCGGTTCGGGGCCCAACTCGCGGTCTTTGTCAAACAGTTCTGGTCTGGTACAGAATTAAATTAGTGCTGCTGTCAGATAATGGGTCGGCTGTTCTGTTAAGTACTGCTGGTGCACGTTTACCAAACAGGACCCGCGCAGGCTTTAAACTGTTACCTCATCGTTGCTCCACTTTTGCCCTCTGCTCATTTTGTTTTGGTTACACCACGTCGTCAAATCATGTCGCATCGCATCGCATCTTGTCATTACTTCCTGTTTTTGGTTCGTTTAGAAGTATTTGGTCCGTGTTGCATTCATATTTCATTCGAACCACACCAGAGTTCGTCTGGAAGCAGACCGAGACCCATCTTTTTAGCGGTCTCGGTCCGCTTGTTTGGTGCGCACCAGGGTTCGGATGGCAGCGTTCGCACATGCTCAAACGAACCGCACTAACAGAACAATCGCACCAGGGTTCGTTTTAATCGAACCAAACATGACAAGTGTGAACGAACCCTAAGATACTGATAAGAAGTGTTGGTAGATTTGAGTTTGCCTTTTAATCTTCCTGCCATTAACCATTTTCTGTGACATGGCGCTGCTTGGACATCATAACCTTTGGTCTCAATGTCAAACGGTGTCCACCCAAATGCCTATTTAGTCATTTATTGCACAAATTTTCCAAGGGAACATTACAGAACTATTGCAAAACTTAAATGGAATCTGGTGACTATTAGAATCTAGAGGCAACACATGACAAGTTTAACCTTTGGAACTATTAAAATGATACTAGACTTGAGTTTATTTAACATTTGATGTGTTTCTTCTCAGATATCTTGCAGGGCAACTTCAAACCAGATTACTACCTGAAACACATTCAGAAAGATCTGAGATTAGCCATTTCAATGGGAGATTCGGTTAATCATCCAACACCAATGGCAGCTGCTGCAAATGAGGTAAAACAACATGTGGTAACTGAATGGATTATCATTTGGCCACAATTGATACTTTGTTGATTGACCAACTAATGTATGCATTTTAGATTCTGTAATGCAGTTTAATAGTAATGTAAACTAAACCACAGAACTGAATTGAAATATGGATATGGATATTTGATAGTCATTTCCCCTGTTTTTGCATTTAGATTACCAGAATATAATGCTCACTTAAAGTTCATCTTTAAAAATACTAATTTAATAACTCCGGTAAATGTAATTTGTACATAATGTTGTGATGCCTAAATTAACTTAAAATAATATAGAATTTAAATTTCAGCCATAAAATGAAAATCGTTATCAGCTCAAATAATCAGTATCATTAAAACTTTAATTGTTTTTTTTCTAGGACTAAATGTAATTTCGGTTTATGCTTCCATTTGAAGTAATGCATCATTTCATACTTCTGCAGGTATACAAGAGGGCAAAAGCATTGGACCAGTCGGACAATGACATGTCTGCAGTCTACAGAGCTTATATTCACTAATCCTGTCAATGTGCTCTACGTCCTGGACCACAAACATCACCTGCTTCTTTGTTCCTCTCCCTCTGTCTTTCTCTCCTCTGCTGATGAATTTTGTTGGGCACCAGTGATATGTTTTCCCATGTATAATGGGATCTCTTTAGCAGCCTAATCTGAGCATTGCACTGACTGTAATATAGCTGCACGTATGCTCAGTGGGAGGTTATTAAACTCCCTGCGAGTGATTATTTTATGATAGAACGTGCAGTGTATTATATCTGCATTTCCTTAAGGCTACTGCATACGATGCAGTGTTGTTTGAAGATGCTAGGGTTATTATTGATCATTCATAACTTTACAAATGAATTCCCACATTGTAATTTTCGATGTTCAGAAATCTGTAAAGTATGAACTTTTGATCACAAACAGGCTTAAGGAGCACGACGAAGAAAAAGCCACTGCATTGCCTTAATACCCAATATAAGATAGATGTATTTATTTATTTTATCCCTTAAAGATCACCACCATGTCAGGTGCAATTTGGCCGTACACATTTTTTTTTTTCCTTCTCCGTTTTGGAGGTCACCTGTTCACTAGTAAATGATTTTGTTTTTACTGCCTGATCAGAAATGCAGTATTATTTTTTATTGAAATTTGGTTGTGTAATAATCACACAGAAGACCCTGAAATGATTTATCAATTACAATGAAGCTAATGCTGAGAAGCATCCAGTAGTTTTCCCATTATTGAGTCTTGACTATTGCCTCTGCAATGGATGTTTCTGTTTTCCAGCTTGACTATTTTACGGACAGATTTGTTTCACAGCATTAAAGTCTTTCAGCTGTTGTGGGGGGAAAAAAAGGAATAATTTGAAGACATTTTAAGTTGCTTTATATGCTTTGCTTTTTAAATCGGATGTGTCGTGTTTTTTTGTCCAAGTCAGTCAGCTGGCAGAGTGATCTGTTGATTTATTATTATTTTTTACTAATTGACTTTTTTTTTTTTTTTTCATTATGATTCATAAAAAAAATGTAAAACAGTTAAGTCAAGCTAACGTTATGCTACATTTTATCCCTAAATTATGATTGCATTTGTTAATTTTAAGTGATATTACAAGCCATAAATTCAGTGGCATATAATTTGGTCTTTTTTTTTTTTTTAATCAGAACAAATACAGGGTGATACCTTTTATATAAATTGTTGTTCTGCCAAAAAAGGAAGAAAAAAAAAAAGACTTTGAAGTGCTTAGTTATGGATAAGAGAATTTTGCGATTTACTAAGACGTTGTAAATATCCCCATCAGAGGGTTGGGTTATTTGAATACATGGAATAACATGCTTTCAGTTTGACTCTACTGAATTTATTAATCATCTGTTGTCTTAATATTGTAGACTGTTCTTTTGTCTTAGCTAATGGGTTGATTTGCTGTAAATGGTTTGATTTTTGTGGCTTAAACGGAGCTGGTAATGACATACTGACGACTTGATTCCAGTTGTGCAAGGAAGGTATTGGTGTTATAATTGGAGTTATTTATAATTTCATGTAAATGTGAAATTTCTTTTCTTTTTTTTGTTTGTGCGGTCAACTGAACGCTCTGAATAAACAAACCCAATGTCCAGCTGTTTTATTTATTCTTAGGTCTAATGTCCGTTCCGAGTTCATATATGAAATGAAAGCGCAATGCCATGATACAAAAAGTGTTGTTGTTGTTTTTTTTAGTTTCAAATGTAGTTTTTATTAATAGAAATACATTTTCTAATAGGGTTTGGCGTCGTCAAAAAATAAACAAACGAAACTAATCCTGTCCTTTCCAAGCCGGAAGATTTCAAGGTTACACAAACCGGAAGTTCAGGAAAAGGAGGCGTGTCAAGCCTAATTGTTTACGAGTCGCACTAAAATAGCGGACTGCTCAGGTTATTTTCAGCAGATTTAGGACGGCTTCGTTGAATTGTAATGCTCGGAGCAGAGCGATCTACTCTGTCTGAACTAGCGAAAATGACGGCCGCGAGTCAAGCAGAGAGGACTGTGCTGGTGAGAGATTGTGAGATTTGTGTTTAATACGTTAAATGTAAACTGCTTCAAAGACGTATGCTAGGTCATTATGATTTGACTATAAACAAGTCATATTCAGATGTAGATTTCAGCTGCGTTGCAGTTGCAAAGGTGTTTATTGCTTTGCCGTGCAGAGCTTGTTGGTGCAGTTTTGCAGAGCAGCTGGTGGGACAAAGTCCAAATTCATCCCAGTGTAAATGGTAAACAATCGTGTCCTGCCTTATCATCGCTGCTCTGTTCAGTTTATCCATTGATGTTGATGTGCTACTGAGGTCTGATACTGACTGCTGTTTCTCCCAGTAATGCACCATACTGATCGATTTAATTCTGCAACAGATTTAACGGTGTTGTGCCGAATTCTGCACCCCTGACAGATTATGCACCCCCTCGTTGAAGTCGCTACTTGATAGCCTAATCCCCACCCCTAATCCTAACCCCTCCCCCACACCTAACCCTAAACCTACCAATACTAGGGGGTGCAAAATCTGGCAGGGTGCAAATTTCGGCACTAAAACTGGATAGAAATGAAAATGGTTAGAATTTACACACCATTATGTTGTTGACTTGAAACTTTGTTTAAAATCAAGGCGGCTTCAGGCACCACTGACTTTCACTGGATTGGGGAAAAATGGCAGTGAAAGTGAAGGGTAACTGTGGGTTTCAGACTTCATCATTCTGCCTAATGTCTTATTTTGAGTTCCACAGAAGAAAGGAAGTCATACCTTAGTCATCATGACAAGTGTGAATACATTTTTGACAGAATGTATTTTTTTTTTTAGCGAATTATGTATTTACTATGTGCAACTTTTGTGTGCTTTAGGAAGAGGAATTTAATTGGCTGCTGAAAGAAGAGGTCCATGCGGTGCTCAAACAGCTGCAAGACATTTTGAAGGTATCTTCAGATACTTACTACACAGCTTACTACGGAATCATTCTGTATTATTATACAAAAAAAGTGCATTAATAATAGTATTTGTCTGCTTTCACCAAAGGAGGCATCAAGGCGTTTTTCAATGCCATTACCAAGTCTCTGTGAAGGACAACTGAAACAAGAGAATTTCATTCTGGGCAGCTCAACGTAAGAGCCATGAAATTAGACTATTCTGTTTGGAAAAGTTTAGATTTAAAGTATACAGTAATGTATGGTTTTTGTTATTACAGTTTTATGGGAACGTGTACAGCGCTGAAGATGTGTACAACATGGTATAAAAATACTTTTAAATTAATATATTTTTTTAATTTGCATATGATTTAGGATGGACCAGGTGAAAGGGGTTTTGACACTACAAGGAGAAGCTCTAACTCAGGCTGTGAGTATGTTTCACAATCAGTGTTGGGGAAAGTTACTTTTAAAAGTAATGCGTTACTTTACTAGTTACTTGGAAAAAAGTAATCTGGTTATGTAACTCGCGTTACTTGTAATGCGTTACTACCCCCAACACTGTTCACAACATCATGAAAATAAAGGCACTGCTTTGCTTCTGGTACTTCAATTGGACTTTTTAAAATGTATTATATATATATATATATAGATATATATATATGTATGTGTGTGTATTTTACTATAGGTGCATCCCAAATCACGTACTTGTGCACTATTCTATGATGTTTTGTAGTATAAAGTTGTAGTATTCCTTTTTGGAACTGAAAATTCCAAAAAGGAAAAAGTGCACTTTAAATATCTGGATAATGCACTTAAATAACCGGGGGGGGAACAATGTTGGACACTCCAGCTTTAATTACATAGTGAAGGGGGAGGGGCTATCAGACTCGGTTTATGAATGACAAAATAACATAATTCTTACACTGCATGATTGAGTACATAGTACATAAGTACATTTAACAAAACTTCTTTGTCAGCCAGTGGAATTGCAACGACACTTTGCAGTGCAGTTTATCTGAGCTCATTGATTACTTTTGCTGTTATTAGACTCTATATAAAATGGAAAGAATCCTTTTTTTTTTCTTTGCAGGATATTAATATTAAAGTCGCTAAAAGCAGTCAAGTCATGCATTTTGCATTCCGCGATGATAAACAGTGGAAACTGCAGCAGGTAATGTTTCTTTCTCTCTCTCTCTCTCTCTCTCTCTCTCTCTCTCTCTCTCTCTCTCTCTCTAATGAATAAATCAAAACAAGATCTTAAAAATGCCTTATTTCAACATAATCTCTTTTGGGGTGGTTTATATATTATAAAATAGCTGTTAAACGCATCTTGCCCCTCAGATTCAGGATGCCCGAAACCATGTGAATCAGGCCCTGCAGTTACTAAGCAGCCGTGACGAGAGTTACACCTTCAAAACTGGGGCTGAAGTCAATAAGGTTTGTATTTCACCATACAATAAGGTTTACATTTCACAAACATTTGAAGTTGATGTCCAGGGGCCAGATTCACAAAAATCTTCTGAGAAAAGAATATAGGAAACTTCTTAAAACCAATACATACATTCTTCGTACACAAGTACATTCTTAAAGCAATTAAAATTTTTCCTTTCTCTTTGAAGTGTTACAAGCTCTTGGTGAATAAAGAAGATCTGTAAAGTTGCAAAGACTAAAGTCTCAAATCCAAAGAGATGTTCTTTATAAAAGTTAAGAGTCAGCCACACCCACCTAAAACGGCTCGTTCTAACACACCACCACATGTCTACGTCACTATGTGGAAATATTAGCATAATGCAGCCCAAATGTGCACGCAAAGAAAGAAGCGTGGTTTCAGGAACAGCGGTAGTGTTGATGCAGCCATGTCAGGGAGACGCTGTGTTTCAGTGCGAAAGCAAAAGCACTTTATTTGGCCTTCCGGAAGTAGATGCAATTAGGAATCATTGGTTAAGATTTATTTACAACAGAACAGCACAACCCAGATGTTCGAATCTGTGCAACACATTTTATGGACGACAGTTTTTTGAACCTAGAAGAGTACAAGGCTGGCTTGTAAAAGAGCATAATAGGACCCCTTTAAGAACATTTCTTTTTTTTTTAAGGCGGCGGCTGTCTTTTTGTGCTGCCTGCAGATTACCATTCTTATTACTGTCTGCACTCAGACACTTTTTTAAAAATGTGCCATCTATTTTAAACAGTCATTTTTAAAGAGCATATCTCAAGATGTTGTGCTCCATCTTTCTTGTGTCCTGTATGTGTTGTGCGCGCTGCTAGTGCGAACGTGCTAAATGCTACCAAAATTGTTGTAATTTAAAATGAAATAAAAAAACAAGGTCCATAAATATGACTAAAGTCCAACAAAAATTTACCTTAACTATAAAAGGTTACTTAGAATGATTTTTAAGAATATTCTTTTCAGTAATCCAAGTTTTCTCTCTAGAACCTTCTTAAGAAATGTTTGAGATGTTTGGCCCCTGGTTTTCTTCATGTGTACTTGTGTGGTTGATATGTGCAGAACTGAGCTCTCCATGAGTATATTTAAAGACGTTGTGCGCTACAGCTTACACTCTTTCCTTACAGTCAACGTTTTCACTGGTACTGTATGTGAAGTGAGATTGCACTTAGTGACATTACTCTGATGTTTCAGCTTATGGATGCAGTAATGCTTCAGTTGACCCGAGCCAGAAACCGACTGACGACCCCGGCCAGCATGACGCTTCCTGAGCTCGCAGCTAGTGGTCTAATGGTTAGTATGTGGATCATCACTTGATCTTAATGTGGATTCTCCATGTGCTCTTGTGAATATTTCTCTTGTTCTTTCTAGAAAATGTTCACACCTCCAATGCCTGGTGACGTGATGGTGAACTTCTATATCAATCTCAGTAAACTGTGTTTGACAGTGTATCAACTACATGTACTGCAGCCTAACACTACTAAGGTATCAAGCCATCGGCACTAAAAAAAAGAACTTTTTTACAGTTATTCTTAACAAGAACGTGTGTGTGTGTTTTAAAATGCACAATCTTTTTGTTTTCTGTTAGAACTTCAAATCAGCAGGAAGTTCAGTGCTGCATAATCCAGGAGCGATGTTGTAAGTGCTCATCCCGTTTCCTGTCTTCATGCTGCAACACCAGCAGTCAGTCTCCTACAGTTTCATAATGTGTTTTTGTCACATTTGATTTTTGTCCTCAAGCGAATACAACAACACCAAGTTTGAGGTGAGCCACGTCCATAAGGTGGAGTGTGTGGTGCCGTGGCTGAATGACACTCTGGTGTTTTTCACCATTTCCCTGCAGCTCTGTCAGCAGCTCAAAGATAAGGTGGGTGTGGCCTGTTGATATGGTAACGATGGTCATCTCCCCTGCACAGTCACTGTCATAATTTAAGAACAATGCATGGTAACAGAACAACGTCAGAGGGTTTTCAGAGCTACTGAGTTTTGAATTAGTGCTGCATTAATTGTTGATTAATTACCTTGATATTCTAATACCTAAAAACATTTTTTTTTATTTTGATTAATAGAATTACTAGGATCATTCTAAATTGCTGACAATGATTTTCAAAGATTTCTTTTTAGTTTAAAGTATGTCTGATGGTATTACTTCAGCACTCTTTTGTATTCCACCTAGAACAGTGAATGTAAAATTAAAGTCAAACATTCACAACTATTTAAATGTTTGTGGTTGCTAAGATTTTTAATATTTTTGAAAAGTGTCTCCTATACCAAGGCTGCATTTATTTGACCAAAAATACAATAATATTGTGAAATATTGCAATTTAAAGTAATTGTTTTCTATTTGAATATATATTAAAATGTTATTTATTTCTGTGATGGCAGAGCTGAATTTTCAGCAGCTATTACTCCATTCGTCAAAAATCATCCTAATATGCTAATTTGCTGCTTAAGAAACATTTCTTATTATCAATGTTGAAAACGTTGTGCTTTTTTTTTTTTTTTTTTTTAATGAAAACCTGAAAATGCATTTTTCAGGTTTTAATGAATGTTTAAAAGAACAGAATTGATTTGAAATAGAATTTTTTAAACATAATTCTCTTTTAAGAATTATGTAATGTAATTATGTAAAATCTCTTTTTAATCAATGTAATGCATCCTTGCTGAATAAAAGTATTAACCTCTTTATATAAAAAAAAAAAAAAAAGATGTATTAAACCCAAACGTTGAACTGTATTGTAAAATGTGGATCAGAACAGGTAGAACTCACCAGTTGTTGTTAATGATTGTCCTGTAGACTAATTCAAATATCTGTGTGATACACCATTTGCTTTGCAAAACACAAAGCAAAACTTTGACACAAGGGGAGCAGATCTAAATGGAATGCTGCAATCTATATGTTTCATTGCCTAATAGATGATCAGTTCACATGTTCCTTTCTTTTTCCTTTTTTTTTTGCAGATTTCTGTCTTCTCTAGTTTCTGGAACTACAGACTCTTTTAAGCTATATCTGACCAAAACTCTACAGTCAGCGATAATAAATATGATACAATTATTATGCTCAAGGATGCACTAGGAACAAAGAATTCCATGAACAAGCTCCCTGAAATAATCTGTTGTGACTTTACTATATGACCATGGATTTATTCATTTTGTGTGCTTTACTGTTCAGTATGTGTTCTGCAGCAGAAGTAGAGTGCGCCGTGTATGTAGTATACAAACTGAATTCATTCATTTGAAACGACAGACTCTTCAGATGAAGGTATTCAGTGACATGTTTTTGTGTTTCTGCAGTATTTGTCAATGTCAGTGTTGACTGTTTGTCAGTAATCTTGCCTATATTGAAGTTAACCTCATCTATATGTGTTTAGGCTTTAGGAAGGAAATGCTACTAAATACACAACGCTTACGTTCTTATTTGTCACAAAAACTGTGAAATATTCCAGTTGATTTGTTGAGAGACCTCTTCAAACTCATTTTACCAGTGTTTTTGCCTTTTTAGTCCAGGGGGTTGTAACACTTGAACATTCTCTGATGCCAGGGACTATCATCAATGCATTGAGACCATTATCATATGCTTATGAATGTGCATAAATGACCAATAGTGTATTTGCCATTGTGACTCAACTGTGGTATGACTATATTAACACTAAATGACAGATAACAGTGAACGTATCCGGACTTCATATTCCATTAAAACTACACACATTCCTGAAGATGGCTGATTAGGGAGCAGAGTTCAGCATTCCATGATGAAAAAAGGAATATTATGTCGAGCGATGGTTCAGATGATGTTCAGGGTTTATGATCATTACAGAAAGGTTGCTCTGTCAGCTTTGTTACTTTGTCAGCCTTGTTTATTTATTGCTACATTTGTATTTATTTCATGTTAAATGCACTTAATTCGTGTCCTTATTGATTTCATGCATGTTAATTTGAATATTGATTCACGTTTAAGTAAAACCTAAGCTATTTTCATGTATATTTCATGCTTAATATGGAATATTTTGTGCAATAAACATACTATCAACATTATGAACTTTACTTTGCTCTTCTCCCATTTCTCAATATACTTTACACTGAATAAATTATCCAGTGCTTATGTCTAAATAAAATAGGCAAAGGTACATTTTATTTGCTATATGCTGTTCATTTAAAGGTATGTATTTTAGTTTTTGTTTACAAAGTCTAAAAGTTATACAAACAATGTGGTACATTATAAAAAGTTAAACACATATTGACACTAATTTTTCCAAGGTAGAGTTCACAAGTAAAGCATTGCGTATCTGTTTGCAAGTCTCATTGGCGTTTTCATCCTCAGCAGTGTGTAGGTTTCTGTATTATATACATTTCAGATTTAAAAGTCAGGCATTTGAAAGAAATCCACTAAAAACCCTTAAATCTAGGAGAAGGCTGGTTGAAGAAGAGATTGCAGATTGGCATCTGGGAAGACCAGTCTTAACAGCTAGGTTCCAGATTAACAGATTAAACACACTGTTCAAAGAACAACTAAAAACAAGTTAATTTCAATAGAGGCCATTTGTTAAGGGCCTGCACTGGTTCCATCCAGGAAAGTTGCTATAACCTGCTTCAATAAAGTGTTTAAGTAACCAATGTCTTCAAAACTGGTGAGCATGCTTCTATATAAAATCTCTGATGAAGTGGATCTGGTATCTACAATGGACAATGCAACTTAAATCATGTGATTTCCTGGGTAAATATTAACAGCATTTTTACACAGTAGGGAAAGGTTTTTGCTTTTATCATCCCTATAAGGAAGTATCTACCTAAAATATCGTTCTCCTTCCTCCATTATTTTACTTGTTCACATATAAATAATGTTTAGGTGGCATAACTGATAGAAAAAAATAGATGTAATGGTGCCTGTTGTTTCTGGAAGATCACAGCTCCATTCCCATATTGTCGATGCCCACCTTCTGTCTTCTTGGCTGTAACGTGGAAACACTTGCGGTCACCACAAATGTCATGACAGTTGTATTGTTTCATGAATCTATAGATAGGTTATCTGTGAGTTTACACCAGTAGCATTCTGACCTTCTCATCACAGCAGCAGCAGCAACAGCAGCGGATGAGAACCAAGATAACCAGCAACAGGACCATGCCTATGGACATTTAACATCGCCTTAATGATTCTTAATTACTTATCTTCATTTCTTATTTTTGCATAATTCTATCTTGCCTATAAAGATGAAGAAAACTGCAAACGAGGCAATGTCCCAGTCCGACTGAAACATCTTCTTTGATTGTAGTCTTGAGACCACATCATTGAACTGGTTCTCAAAATCCAGTTGGATGTTCTTATCCATGACTTAAGATTCCTGAATGGAGGGGTTTTAATTAATCACACGCTGTTAACGAATATTTTAAAATAGAAAATAAAAAGCATGATGCCCATAAACGAATCCAACCTGTTCAACATACAAATGTACTCAAATGACATCCTGAATAAACAGGAAGTTGTTCTTTCTAGTTTTCTACGAAAAGAACTGAAATAAACCAAGTGATAATAAACCACCACGAGAATCTTAAGGAATAAACTATATTCTAAACTAAATAAAAATGTATTTTGAATTAAGAAACTAGATATTATGGGGGGAAAATGGCGTACTTCAAAGAAAATCAAAGAACTCCATCCTTATGTCGACTAATCGTATATAAACACATAATCTTTTAATAATCTGCCTAAATTGGCTTATTTTCTATTTCACAAACTGTCCTAATGTATCTTACAGAGGAATTGTCGATCACTCACCTGTTGTTTTCGTTTGTGGTACTTCCGGGTACTGCGTAAACCTGTTGCTGTGCTTTTGAAGCGTTTTTATAGTCTATGTTTTGAAGGCTGTTCAACCGCTGAGATAGTTTTGCGGAAGTGTGATGATTGCACAAAACTACAGGAGTCTAGTCATAAAGTACTGGCTTTTATGTGGTGTTGACAAAATATTAACCACAGACCCTACTCAATATAAAAACAGCTGACAGGTGTAATATGTAGTCTGTATTCCATTCAATAAATAATTGCTTTAGATTTGCGATCTATTCTTTATTCAGATCCAGGTAACACGGGTATGGTAAACATAAACATAATTTAAAAATATGTGACCCTGGACCACAAAACCAGTCATAAGGGACAATGTTTTAAAATTGAGATTTATGCATCATCTGAAAGCTGAATAAATAAGATTCCCATTGATGTATGGTTTGTTAGGATATGACGATATTTGGCCAACTATTTGAAAATCTGGAATCTGAGGGTGCAAAAAAATCAAAATATTGAGAAAATCGACTTTAAAGTTGTCCAAATGACGTTCTTAGCAATGCATACTAATCAAAAATTAAGTTTTGATGTATTTATGGTAGGACATGTACAAAATATCTTCATGGAACATGATCTTTACTTAATATCCTAATGATTTTTGGCATAAAAGAAAAATCGATCATTTTGACAAGTACAATGTATTGTTGGCTATTGCTACAAATATACCTGTGCTACTTAAGTCACAATCAACAACAACAACAAAATTAATAATAATAGTATTAAAAGGAGAAGTGAAGGGTCAGTAATCGCTAAATATAATAAGACAATAGAAAGATAATAAGAAAGAAAGAAAGAAAGAAAGAAAGAAAGAAAGATTATTGTGATGGAGGGTCCAGTACCAAACTTCCACTAAAGGGGTCGCTGTCTCACTTCATTCAATATGTGAGGAATGACCTCTGACCCGTTGTTTACGTGGAAGGAGAGCTGTTCGTGCTTCCGGGTTTTAGTTCTGCAGTTATCTGCTCAGTTTTAAAGAGATGGCTACGGCACCGGCCCAGTCTCTCCGGGTCTCAGAGATTAAAGACCCCACCGTTTTATTTGAACGGTACAGTACGGAGGAGATCCGTGCTATCGAGAGGAAAGTGCGCGGAGAGATCGAGCAGAAGAAGGAGGAACTTCGACAGATGGTCGGTGAACGTTACCGGGATTTGATCGACGCCGCTGACACGATCGGTGAGATGAGACAGTGCTCGGAGAGTGTCGTTCAGTCCATCCAGGACATGTACCGGTACTGCCACAAACTGAAGCAGGCGAAACACGCCCCTCAGTCCAGCGGCAAAGCTGAGGTAAAGCTCTTGTGCTGCTCATGTTCTGGAGTACTGCGACAAAACAGCCCGCAAAAATGAGAATAATAAAGTTTATGTATGTTTTTATTCTGACTTCACACTATTCAGTGTGGCCAGAGATTCTCGCCTGCATGAGTGCAACTTGTTTCTTTAATTTTCTTGTCAGTCAATATGGGTCCACACCGTCAGATACAAATATGTCTGTATATCATGTTTTAAACATTGGCAAATATAGCATTCACTTCATTGAAAGAATGAATCAAGACTACAGGATAAAACTGCAGCTCCATATACTGAATTGCCACCACTATCAGAAATAAAGTTTTACAGTGTTGACAAATTATCTATCTATCTATCTATCTATCTCAAATGTATTAAGTGCAGTACTTCAATTTATGTATTTGATAAATATATTTTTATTTACATATGTAGATTTTATATTATATAATACATTATACATTAATTTCTTAAAAGCCTCATCAGGTTTTGTGTATATATTGTAATCAGTGCCTCCAGTCTTTATTGGTAACCAGTTTCTATCATTATACAATAAATCCCAAAATTGTTAGATATCCATGAGATTGATATTCATGTGTTGGGAACGTGTTTTGTTCCTGGCAGGGTCAGAAACAGTCGCAGGAGAGATTCTACACAATGGCATCACAGATAAAGCTCCTTCTGGAAATCCCTGAGCGTGTGTGGAGCGCGATGGAGTCCTCTCAGTACCTGCAGGCCACACAGCTCTACCTGCTCTGCTGTCACCTTCACAGCCAGCTACACTTGGAGCGAGGAGGCCACCAGTACAGCCCCGTCCTCTCTCGCTTCCCCATCCTGGTGCGCCAGGTAGCAGCTGCTGGTCATTTCAGGTACATTATGGAATTACACCCAACAAAGAAAACCGAAAATGACAAGTCTGTCATCATTTACTCATCCTGATGTTGTTCCAAACCCATACGACTTTGGTTAGTCTTCAAAACACACATGAAGATTCATTGATATTTTTAATAAGATTAATACATTTTTAATGGACAAAAACCTGTCGGGTTTCATTAAAAATATCTTAATTTGTTTTTCAAAGATTAATCACAGTCTTACAGGTTTAGAATGACATGATGGTGAGTAAATGATGACAGAATTGTCATTATCGGCTGTACTTTCTCTTTCGGCTGTACTTTCTTTCTCTTACTAAAAGCTAGTTGTCTTTGTCTGTAGGTCTACCATCTTATTGGAGAGCAAGTCTGTGCTGCGCGGCAGGGCTGTGTCTGATCAAGCGATCGCTGAAGCGCTGGTCTCCACCATGCTGCTGGAAGACAGCTCCCCTCGCCAGGTGCTTGCTGATTTCCTGCTGGCTAGGAAAGCATCCATTCAGCAACTACTCAATCAGCCCCAGCATGGTGAATAACCTTACTAATATTTAGAACCTTTTAGCTTATGAATACTTCAAGCTTTGCACTTATTTGTTCTTAGTTTATTAGAATAAATCGTTACATTTGCATGTGGTCGTTCTTCATTCACTCAGATGTGATGCTGTCCCTCTGTTAGGTGCTGGTGTGAAAGCACAGGTTTGTTCTTTGGTGGAGCTGCTGGTCACCACTCTGTACCAGGCATATGCTGTGTTTTATGTGCCTCCGGAGGGCCAAGTGTCCGATACCGGTTTGGGATGTGGTCTGCTTTTCACTACCTTGGAGAATGTGACCTCCAACACATCTGGTGAGTTATCCATTTCTCGTTCACGTTGTGATGCTCAAACATTGGTGTAAGGCGCCACTAGGGTTGGACATTAAAGCTTGGGGCAAAAATGCCACCAAAAGGAACAAAAATGCCCCCAAATTCAAGATACACACATGTTTCTGGCCAGTGCAATAAATGCAATGGCCAATCAGAGGTCTTTAGATTAGTCACTGCTGAAAACGACGGTTTTGTTCAGTGCTCGTGCTGCTCACTGACTGAACTCTGCACTCTCACAAATTCTCTCATCATAAACGTCTGAATACAGACATGATGTAATGGATTCATTTTGCAGTGTAGACAGCTTCAGTGATTTTTCAGCATTTATAAAAATGACCCCATTCAAAGGTTTACATACACTTGATTCTTAATACTGTGTTGTTACCTGAATGATCCACAGCTGTTTTTTGTTTAGTGCTAGTTGTTCATGAGTCCCTTGTTTGTCCTGAACAGTTAAACTGCCTGCTGTTCCGGCTGCTGTTCACGAGTCCCTCAGTTGTCCTCAGTGGGAAAAGATGGATCTCAAAACCATACAGTCATTGTTGGAAAGGATACAAATACACAAAAATGCTGGAAAACCAAAGAATTTGTGGGACCTGAAGGATTTTTCTGAAGAACAGCAGGCAGTTTAACTGTTCAGGACAAACAAGGGACTCGTGAACAACTAGCACTAAACAAAAAACACAGCTGTGGCGCATTCAGGTAACAACACAGTATTAAGAATCAAGTTTGAACTAACTTACCTTAAAAAAACTGCAATTTTCTGTGAAATCCAGGGAAAGAGAAGAAAGTTCTGGACAAGGAGATGAGCACAGGAAGCTGGTTTAAATACCTTCCCCCTTCAGTGATGAACTTCCAGCCTGCTCTTCGGACATTAGCGCAGCCTATACAGAGGGATCAGCTCAGAGACACGCTGCAGCAGTGGATTGATACGTATGTCCCTCCTACAGATGTTAAGTAACATTTCTCAGTATTTGTTTTAAATGCTCATTTGTCTTTTAATAGCTGTAAGGAGGATATCCGCAGCGGAGTCAGCAGCCTTCTGGTCTATGTGAAGAGTCTGAAGGGTCTGGCTGCGATTCGGGATGCATTGTGGGAACTGCTCAGCAGCGAGTCCATCAGTCAGCACTGGAGTACTGTGTGTCAGTCCCTCCTCGAGCGACCTCTGGCCTTGTGGGATGACCTTTTGCAGCAGCTCTTCCTGCAGCGACTTCAGGTACTCGTAATCAATTTAACTAGTCTGATAAGTGTGTTAGCGCTGTTTACAACTGCTATTAACATACACTTGTGATCCCATCACATGTATTCAGGCTAGACAGATTGCCATTCACACCTGGATGTAATATGTGGTTTAAACCATCTTAAGCCTCGTTTGACCACCTGTAATTAGGGTATGGTATCTTACTAAATACATAATTCACTATGTCAGGGTGGTACTGCTTGTTAATAAAGCATTAAATATATATATTAAACAAAAAAAGTTGGAACACTGATTATTAGAATATTATTTTGATAATTCATAAATGTGTTATAGATGATCATTTTATGCATTTTTTTAGCTAATTGAATGAAAATACTTGTTTACCCTTGACCTCTCTAGGCGATCACTCAGGAGGGCACAGAAGGGATCTCCAGCAGCTCCAGACAGCTCTTGTCTTCAGCTCTGCGGGATCTGCAGGGTCAAGCCACAGCTGGGAGCTTCAGCCGCGGGGCGCAGTACGAGAGTGACGTTGCAGCTTTCCTGTGGTCCGAGTCTCAAGGTGACCTGCTCAGCGACACAGCCTGGGTGAGTGTAGCCCAGCGCAGCCCGCAGCAGAAGAGCGGCCTGTCCATGAAGACCCAGGCCCTCACCCCCTGCGTTCAGACCTTCTGCTCCTCGCTGGACTCCAAGCTCAAAGACAAATTAGATGATCTGCAGCACTACTTGCCCTCTGAAAAAAATGGCAAGGAGCTTTCAGAGTCTGTCCCAGTCACCACTAAGTCCC